TACCTCTGGGACAAAATATTTGGTTAACAGTTCACGGAACTGTGCTGGGCAGGTCAGAAAAGAAAGCAAAGAGGAGATGGTTCCCAGTGCTGTGAACCTGCGTTACTTCTGCATGTGCTAACTGAATCATTTCAGACTTCCTGACCTTATCAGCTTAGTTCTGGCCACGTGCTGGTTTGAAGAGAGACAGCCTTCCCCAGCTTCCTCTCTCTCTTTCCAATTTTGGATTCCGATTGGGGGAGGGTGGGCATCTTCTTGCACAGCATATCCCAGCTCTCTAACCTCAGGACTGCTTTCTCTTTCCTGCTTATCTTCTGTCCTTGAGAGCCTGCCCCAGATCTCCACTGGGAGAGGCTGGACTTGCTGGGTGTTGCAAGAACCGCTGCCTCCCATGGGAGCAGGTGATGCGTGAATTACTCGTGCCTGCACAAGGCCATGCTCCCAAGGCTGTTTGCTTTATTTACGTTACTGATGCTCTTCAAAACAAGCTTCTTTTATATTTTGAATAGCAATATTAAAATCTGGGCAGTCTGGGGAAAAAAAAAAACCAAACAACCTAAGAGTTAGCAAGTGAGCTGTATTTGAATTACTCACCAGCTGCGTGTGTCTCTTGATCTGCTGGCCACCCGGGCCAGCTTGTGGTGATCTAAGTATGAAGTAGCTACGCTGCTGCAGTGCTATGGGTTTGTTCTGCGCGTGCGTGGACAAAAGGTTTCTGTGGTCTCACTAGGTGTCAGCTAGAAACCTTTGGTTAGAGTCCTGTCAGCAGCACTGCCTGGGACTGCCTGTCCTGTTTCTGTGCTTTTCAGTTAAAACCTGGGCTCTCTAAACCTGCCAAAAATAAATAGGACTGCTAAGAATTAATTAGTGGTTAATCTGTAACAGGCTTAAAATTAGTGAAAGATGTGAATGGGTAGTGTCTTTTCCAGTACTTAATTTCACTGAAGGTGACATAAGCTGCAACCATGTAAGTTGCAAATGGAATGAGCTGCTAATTGCTCTAACTAAAATATAGCATGTATCTGTGCTGAATTTGTTACTCAGTAGAGGATCAAGGGCCTCGCATTCCTCCATTTCTCCTGTGTAGGTGTTCAGTGAATTTTAGGCCAGCTTTGTGTCAAGTTGATACAAAGTCATGCTTGCTTGTAACTTACCAGAGCTCTTGGGATAAGTCTCTCTTCTGAAAACTGAGTGGCTCCCAAATACGTTTTAAAAAGCTTAGAGTACAAAGCAAATTTATAACCAGAATCTGCCATTAGTACAGAGCTGTAACAATTTGGGGTTGTCTTTGTTCAGTACAAAAGAGATTGTGCCTTTTAATATTTAATCATTTGCAGATGGTATGTCAAACACAGCTGAAGGGGTGAGGACTAATGACAGTAAATTTCTTTCACTTGTGGTCTTTGGGAGGTGTATATCTTGGGCTTTTCTGGCTTTAGGATTTTGCTGGTGCAGCATCCCTGTGCAGTGGAGGTATGGCTTATACTAGCCAAATGACTCTTTTAATGGTGCAAGTTCCTTGACCTCAGAGGTTTTTTATCTGTGTCAATGTATGGGGAGAAGATGTGACTTTCTCGTCAGGTTCTTAAACTTTGGGTGGTGCTTGCTTTATTTTTGGTCTTATGTTGCTCACTTCAGTTCCTTTTCTAGCAGTGCACTTTTAAGCTGTCCTTTTGCCTTGCTGATTTATGTTGCCAAGTGAAACCAGTAACACTCTTGTAGCACTGAAGGAAAATAAGTTCTTCAAGCAGCATCTTTAATTAAATATTTGCATATGGATTATCTTTTGTCACTCTAAGTAATACTGCTCTTAGAAAAGTGAACTGTTTCAGCTTCTGGGACTGGGATTAACTGCTCCTTGGAGGCCTTTGCTTTAAAGGGATCCAGACTCAAAACTGATTATGTTTGAAAACGGAGAGGGGAGGGCAGGAAAGGTTTGCTTGGATTAAATGGCTTAGTCAGACTTTCTTCCCATTTTAAGGAGAAACTTTTTTGTACAGGAAAAACTTTCAATGTGGAGAAAATGTTTGCATCACAGACAAACATGAAGTATTTTTGTAATCCTATAAGTTATAATGTGAAGCATTTTTTAATCATCTAAGTTAAAAATGAAGCAGAGGAACTGGTGGGTAGAATAGCTTTCCTAAGGTCTTCCTTTGTTGCAGTTTAAGAAGCTGGATTTCATGACGCTAATGAGCAAACGAGCTATTTCGATTGTTGTTGCAATTGATTGCATTGAAACTGTGGCACCATTCTTGTCTCTCAATTCAAGTTTGCCTCAGGTTCTCTTTGTTGTCAGGACTTATCTTTGCTAGAATCTAGTTCAGTATTTTTCCCACTGTGATCATTAGTTCAGTCTACTATGCGTGAAACAATGGAGCGTTTCAGCTCCTGCATAATCCACGGGTGTTCAGAAAACCAGCAGTTGCTCAGCCTTCTTCCACGTCTGAGGCAGTGCCCATGGATGGGATGCTCCCTGTTGGACTTTGCTACAAGAGAGCAAGGAGAAAAGTCATGACTCCAAATCGTTCAGGAGTGTTCTTAAAAACCAGCAGGTATATTGCACAGTTACTGGGCACATATTGCTGAGACTCTAAGAAGCAGCGAAACCATTACCTTCATGAGCTCTTCCTAGAGGACTCAAGACTCGCCGTATTGGCAGAATCCCCTTGTATACATGGCTTTGCTGAGAACGCTGCAATTTCGCTGGGTTGGTTTGTTTTATCTGGATGGAAGTGTGGCTGGAATAAGCTTTCCTAGCAAGACTGTGGTTTGGCTGATGTTTACTGGGGCCGCTCAAAGAATGTTTTGTAGGTACCGTACACAATAGACAGACACGTAGAGTTTGTAGCGCAGAAGCAGGCATAAACTGGGTCTAGTGTAGAGAAGTATGCAAGTGCTAGAAGAGCAAGTGTGAGAAAATTGGCATGAGGAGATGTTATGTCCTGATTTTTATGATAACTAGGTTGTGTGGTGACTAGTAGAGGGTTACAAAAGAGCTAGACTCTATTGCAGTGCTTATACTCTTAAGCTGTACTGTCTTGCACATCTCTGTCAGTGGAGGTAGCTGGATTCCTTTCTAGGTTGTAGGTAGTGAACTCTGGACTGTTTTCTGTATGGTGGGAATACCTTACCAGAGTGCTAAATGATGTTCTTTATCCTCTCTGCATTTCTACTCCCCTCCCACTCCTCCACAAAAAAAAAAAAGCCACCTGCTCTTTATGTCCAAGATGAGTAGAGTGAAAAATGCAGAAGAGCTTCTTAAGTCAGACTTTAAATACCTGTTTTTGCAGGTGTCTAGCATTCATATTTGCCTTTGAAGTCCAATTGTTAATGTTTTATTTCCATTTATAGGTTCCTTTATTTTCAGCTAGATGATGCCTACGTGTAAGGCTTGGGACAGGTGTGGCTAAGAGAAAATTTGTTAGAATAATCTGTAAGTCAGAATCAGTTGGATAGAGGAGGGGGGCAATTTGCATGAAACATCCTATGTCGTGTGTGTGGCTGATGCCTTCCCCTTGCGTTTCTGGATTCTTCTACCTTTGAATTAATATTTTTAGTTATGTAGTGAAAAGGAATAGATATTACTATGCAGGCTTTACACTCTTGTGTAGTTTCAGATATATCCTTACTGCACACTTGGAGATGCAAGTTTTTAGTGGGGAAAGGGATTTTTAAGGTGATTAACTGGTGTCCTGCATTGATATTGCTTTGTTAATGCAAAGATAAACACTGATTATGGAAGCTGATGGTGTTGTCTTATGGAGTGAGCTGTTACTGTAAATATAGAGGAACAACTTCACAGAGTAAGCTGTGTCATTCTTTACCTAGTCAGAGAATCAAAATTTCTGTGGCAGTATGTGCATTGCTATTCCTTTAAGGGAAGAATCTGTGTGAGCGTGTGAAGTGTCTTCAGAGTGCTTGCTAACATTTATTGCACAAGAATAAGCATTAGTTTTGTACAATGCTGATGGAATCGGATACCTGCACACACTTGTTGACTAACTTGGACTTCAAAGTTTTGTTTTTCAAAAGCCTTTTGAGGCACGCTAGTTAACTGTGCTTGCTCTATACCCTGGGTATTGAGAGAGATTTAACCTCAGGCTAGAGAGTCAGAAATTACATATAGGGAGCGTGGGCTGGGTGGGGATTACCTGTTTATTGCTTTACCTCAAGGGAAGGTAAATGAGAAGAGCCTGTTTACACACGGAGCCATTGCAACTATTGCTTCTTTTTCCTTTTGGTGCAAGTGAGAATGTCCTAGGGAACATTGTGTTTGGAGGAAGGGTGGAATTTAAGATAGGCATGTTGCCTAGTGTTTTGTTATTATGTTACAGTCCAGATAACTCTGAATTAATTTCCCTTATTCTTTCAGCTGTTTTTCAAGATCATAATGCAGCAGAAAAATGAAAAACCATAGAAGACATTTGCTTTGGAAAAGAAGTCAGTTGCTGGCCCAGTGTAGAAGATGGACCACTGGATTTGGCGAGCTTGGGAAATACTGCTTGCAAAAGCAATCTTTCCTAGCTAAGAAGAAAAGACAGAGTGCTCAGCTAATTGTGAGCTTAAATCACAACAAACTGTACAGAAGGCTGCAGCGCAGAAGGAAGGCACTTGAGCTCCAAAGCAGGTGGGCTCCTGATGTGCCTCTAAATGCAAAAACTTATCAAAAACCTATTGTTGAACCATACAGCTTTCCTTACAAAACTACTGAGAGCAAAAAGATCCTGTCCCTATCGCAAAGCCGAAAGCCCATCTGGAGAAGCAGTAAGAAAACTCAACAAAGAATCTTTTCAGAGTGAAGATCCCTCGAATTCCCCAGAATTTGAAACTGTCGCTGTTATTAATAGCATCTCTGGCAATATCCATTATGTCTCATGTGGTACGCTGGATGGTGCTGCCTTACATGTAAAGAAAGGTTGTTTTGTATATAGCGGAGAGGAGAGCAATAATGGTGAGGGCAACACAGTCCTAGTAGTTTTAAACAACTATAAAAGGAAATGCTGTTGCAAAGGGAGTGGAATAGAACTTGTGGCCCCTTGACAACTCTAAAGAAGTCCAAATTTAACCATCATACTGTAAAAAAGAGATCTTTATTTATGATGCATAAGAAACTTTCTATGGTTAGGTTTCGGTATAGAATTATAAAATCCCCAGAACTTCGAGCAAGAGGCAAAACCTGCAAATTGAGAAAAATCAAGCCAAGGTGGGTGGAGGAAGTTACGAGGGACCATCAAGAGACGCTCCAGTGGGATTTTGAAAGTGGATTGTGTAATTGGTTTTCCTACTGGAAATCTAAAAGTAACCGTCTTTGGAACCGGTACAGCTTATCAGATATGAACAATAATACACCCAAATCTTTAGGTGAGGAGAACAAAATATGTGCACTTGAGATCTGCCGTACGCAGGATGCATTACCGTGTGCTGAGCCATGTTCTGAGGAGCCAGAATCTGGAGGGCAGGATGGCAGTGTGGATGTTGTCCCGCCAGAACTGCATGCTAGAGCTTTGCCGGAGGCAGAGACCTTGCACCAGGTGGAGACCAATGGGGCTCTGGCAGAGGATCATTGCTCTGACGTTTTCGTCTCTGAGACAGGAAGAGAAATTGCTGTTTCAGGTCAAGATGACGCAGATAACGAGGTTGTGGGTGTAGATGGAATGATGTTGTTGCAATCCTCCTTGCAGGATCCTGATGTCAATGAAAACTTTGGAAATGGACCTTTATCCATGGAGCTGGCACAAAATGAGAACAGCTCTAGCCAAATGGAAGTAGAAGGCTCCTTAAACCTGGACATTTTTAGTGCAAAGTTACTAGATCACCCTTATTGTAAAAGTCCTCTTGAGGAGCCTTCACCAGAAAGCACAGGACTAAAATCAGAAACTCGGAAGGGAGGCAAAAGGAACAGTCAGAAAGCTTCCCGGGTGGCTGATGAGCAGTTGGCAACGTGGCTTTGTGGTATACCTTTTACATATCTTAGGGTTTCCAGGAGTTACTGAAAACTGGTGGATGTATCGTGGAGTTTACATATTGCGTTAATTCCTTTATTAAAATGGTTTCTTATTGTGAATTGTAAAGGGTGCTTAGCATAACACTTAATGAAATGAGGCTGCAAAGAGGAGAGCTGCATGAAGGAAGGACAAATCAATGCTTATCTGACAAGTTGTTTTGAGGGCTAGTTGAACGGTGCCTCTGCTTCTTTCGTTTTAGAGAATACAATGTAATTTAATTGGAATCTTTGTGGAAAATTGTTGATAGACGTTTTAAATGTCTTTTATTATGCGGTTTCAGAAGATGATATGGGGTTAAAACTTCCAGTTATTTAAATGGTTGACAATTATTACTCTTAACTTGGTTTTTGAAAATCCTTAGTGTTCTAATACTTCCTTCTAGCCTTATCCTCTCTTCTCTTGCTCTTAGATTGAGACTAAATCACTTAATGAATCTCAGGTTTTAATAGCCAAATATTGTTCATTGTCACTTAGTTTTCTCTACAATTGTTCATAAAGTAGGCTTAATGAATCTTATTAGACAGTATTTTTTAAAAAGGCAAGACTAGTCTTAGCAGAGGTTCAGCAAAAAGGCTTTGGGATTTTTTTACTCAATGCTGAGCATGCAGTATTTGATAGTCTCTCTAAAGAGGAACATGGTAAAAGTAGTAATTGGTGTCTTATTTATGTATAGCAGCATACTATACACATAGTAAGGAGCAGTAAGCTAACACCTTGTGCCACCTAGTACCATTAATATAATGTTCAAGTTCAGTGGTGTTCTCATAACCGAAGTCTTCCTTTGGAGAAATTGGTTTCATAGGTTCCCATAAACCTGAAGCTGGTGTCAACTAATGTTAAAGGGATTGTTTGAAGTTTGACATGCTCTGATTTTTCTGCCCTCCTTTTTGTCCTTCAATTTTGCAATTGATTCTCTAAAGCAAAACGTGAAGAAGGAGACGCTGAACCTCAAAAGATGATTTAGCTTTCCATATCTAGTGTGGGATGTGTTTCTCTATGACTGCCTTTACGTGATCCAGCAAGGACCAGGTGCTATGTGAGAAACTGAGAGAAACTGTGCTACCACAGCGAACAGACCACTTCTGCAATGGCGTTTTAAAGTTTGTCCAGCAGAAAAAGGGATGTAATCCTTCTGTAACTGTCAAGAACCAAGATTGTATCGGGGTGGCGAAGGTTAAAGTTTTGTGGTCTGATAGGCAGTCACGTTCTTCTTCAAGGGAGGCCTGTCTAACATAAAAAATAAAATTAAAAAGACAGACAGCAAATGCACTAAACTTTCCCACACTTGACAATTTTAAGAGAATTCTTGCCTGGCTTTTGAATGGAAGTAGGTGAGACCAGTTTCCATTTTCTTCAGACTTGAGGGTTCCTCTCTGAGGGTTGAAGCCAAGTCTACAGTACATACACACTCATACTGACAGTATAGCACTTCTGAGTTTTCTCAGCTGAAAAACTATAAAAAAGAATTTTAATTTTGGTGTAATTGTGTACAGAAGTTCTTGTCTGTTTAAAAGTGTTGTTAATTATTAACTGCACCCTAAAAGATACTGCTAACCTGGCAAGAGTTGCTAGGGTAGATGCATGAAGGAGATGTAAGTGTTATGGTTGCTCTTGGGTTTTGAATTTCTCTGCAGCAGCTGAACTCGGATGTTAATGGGCTGCAATATTTAGTGCATTCTGATGTGCTATTAGGTGTCAAACAGAGCTCCATGGTAAATCCTGTTCGTGATGGGTGTCTGATCTTGCACCGGGTCTGAACTTTGTATTTTCCTCCTTGAATTATGCAGTTACACCAGCCCAAGTGAGGTCAGAATCTACCTAGAGGTCTCTTGGAGCTCTGCTACTGTTAGTTGTAACTACGAGAACAATCCTTCTTCTGTGTGTATGAATGAAAAGATTTTAAAAATTGTATATATTAAAAGAGAATAAGGTACACTTACATCCCCATACATCATCTATCTAGACTTCTAGCCAGAGTTAGAAATATCCTCCCTGTCACAGTCTACTAAGATATAAGGGATAAAAGTTGTTAGGCAAGTGTCTGGCAGAGTTGCGAGGAAGGATATCTTCCTGTGAAGAATTCTTCCTTGTTGTCTGATCTCACTCTTCAATCCTCTCTTCCTTCTGTCACACATCCAGGTGTACTTCTTGCTGTATCTTCACTGCTTTTCTCTCCTCTCTGTGTTTTGTTCTTGGTCTCTCTCCTTTCTTTTTTTATTCTTTTCTTACTACTGTTCTTCTGGCACTTTTTTCTGTCAGATGTTTCTCTTGTCTTGCTTCTTCCTATCCTTATCTTTGAAAGTTTCCAGGAAATATTGTTAAAGCCTTAATAAGCAGAGAGCTAAACATACACTGCACTATCTGGTGATGCTGTCTGCCATCGCACCCAGGCCTGAGAAGAGTCCTGGAGTTTGAGTTAGTGCAATTTCCCTGGACTCTGATCTTAGAGCCAGCTTTCTGTACACAGAACACGTGTTTTCTGCTGTGTTTGAAAGCTCATTTTCAGAAGGCTGGACAACTTGGTCTTTTTTCTCTTATTCACTAGCAAGTGTTGAAATACTGTTTTCCATTCTCTTTCATTCTCAAAGTGGTTTTGAATGCTTGGGTGGGATTTATGTCTCCGCTGTTCCAGTCTTGTGTCTGAGGGGAAAAAACCTATTTCCTAGGTTTTTTAATTCTTCCAGCATTCATCTCTTCATTATTTCCTAGTTAATATCTTTTGTTTCTGGTGTTATGGTTGCCCAGGCAATGGCAGGCTGACATGGCTGTCGGTGGCACCTTAAATGCCATCCCTAGGATACTAGGGTGAATGTGTTAAACTTGCTGAGCGTCTGTCTGGTGTCTCTTCGCTATGGTGGCAGCAGAGAAGCTGAACAGACTGCAGACGCTGCCAACCAGGGCTGCTTACATTTGAAGGGAGTAATTCTGCATACTGTAAGGACAAGATACTGGGTTTTCAATGAAAACTGTTGCAGACAATGATGGCTTTTCATGTTGCAGTAAAATTATTTAAGATGCTAATTGAAATACGCAGTGGGATGGATTCTCCTCATAGCACTGGTATAATTAGTTTGATGTAGATATACATGTATATGGGAAGAATGGGGTCTGAACTTTCCCTGTAAAGCTGAGTGATCAGATTCCTGCTTTTTTTTTTTTCCTCCTTTCCCTGCTTTTATTTGATATTGCCAATTTGAGCTTAGTTTTCTTAAACATATACTTGCCTTGTGTTGGTTGGGTGCAGAATGATTGCTGCTCGTACTTGGAAGAAATGACTGCTGTATTGGACTAGTGAACTTGGAGGGTTTTTTACATGTTTGCACTTTCATTTTTCTGGTATATTTAAAGGATTCCTAGATGAAGTTATGAAGAAATATGGCAGTTTAGTTCCACTCTGTGAAAAAGATGTCATGGGAAGATTAAAAGAAGTCTTTAATGAAGATTTCTCCCATAGGTGTGTAGCATATCAAATTTTAGACTTTGTAAAGGACAAATTGCTTGCATTGCTACTACCCGCTCCACGTCTAACACCTAACAGAACAGAAGTCCATTTGATATGAACTTGACTTATTTTTTTTCTACCTTTTCAATCCTGTTTTAGAAAACCTTTTATCACCAGGGAAATCATGAAGTATCGGGAAAAACATCCAAAAACCTCCACTTGCAATTTCCGGGTCTTCTATAATAAGCACATGCTAGATATGGATGATTTAGCTACACTGGAAGGCCAGAACTGGCTGAATGACCAGGTCAGAGATGCTTGGTGTTTATGTGCTTCCTTACCCCTTTTTAGCCCATTTATATTAGGATATCAGTTGTTCACCTTCTGCTACATTATAGGTGGACTGTCCTTACTTTACACTTGAGAAGTAAAAGAAGCGGTGAGCAGCTTTTACAATGGCAGGTGCAATAATAGTGGTTACAAGTCTGGAAGATGGGAATTGTCACAACTAAACTGTTTCCTTTTGAAGAAATGATGTTGCACTGTTTTGGGAAAATAGTGGCTACCCATATAGGTTTTAGCATCTCCCCCATCCCAAAGCTTGAGCAGATTACAAGAACAGCAGAGTGAAGCAGCAGACTGTGGCCCACAGCCAAAAAACCAAGAAGGCTGTAGTGCCCAGGGCATGCACCAGTACACTTAAATTGAATTAAACCGCATTTCAGATTGAGGCAGACTTCAAGCAGCCGGTTACAGTCTCTCTCCGGGCCGACCACTATTAGTTCCAGAGTGCTTGTCCTTCAGACTACAGCAAACTGTTACTATAATTGCTTACCTCCTTATTGCTGTTTTAAGTGTGAAGGGTCCTATGTTTTATGGGAAATTGTGAATTTGAGTTTTACAAAATTATTCTGTACCTATTCAAATATTTACTAACTCTTACAGATAATTAACATGTATGGTGAACTCATAATGGATGCAGTTCCTGAAAAGGTGAGGGTTTTTGTTATTATGCAAATGTACCTAATGAGAGATTGAGAGGGAAGGGTGAAACATTGAATATTTCAGATACAGAATTGAGATTCATAGCTCGATGATGTTCCCAGTGGTTCCATTATAATCTGCTGCTCAGATTTTCTTCCATTCCTGTGCTAAAATACAGTTTTCAGTGCTATTGCTCTTGCTTCAGGAACTTACTGGATTAGCTCTGCAGGTGGTTTCTGTGGTAGCCTGATGTTACTGATGTACCTGTAGAAGGGTGCCCTGTTTTCGCCCATCCCACTCTCCTTTCCCCCTTACAGGTTTCTGTCTCCAGCTTATCTGCTTCTAAAGTGCTTTATCCATGCCCTTGCTTACCAGTCTGGTGTTTCAGCTTAAATTTCTGATGAAGATGGATTTCTGTTGAGATGACAAACCGTGAATGGTAGCATCTGAACCATGCACATGTGCTGCTTGCACTTGCCTACCCGCCCACCTCGCAGCTGTGAGGGCCATAACAGCTCAAACTGTGGATGTGAATTGATGCAGAGCTGCTTGGTTCCTCGGCAGTATTGACTCTGCAGGACTCTCTTTGGTTTGTGCATCCTCAACAGAACGCTTACTGCTTTCCAACTGTAGTGTCTAACTGTTGGTGGCAATTGAAAAAAAGAAAGGAAAAAAACCACAATGCCCTCCTTCTGTGACTACATTTGCAGCAGTGGCAATTATAAAAAGCCATCTGTTTACTAGTAGAGCTGAACAATTTTCAGGTGAGACCACAAAGGAAGACCCAAACAAAGCCATTTTTAGATGAGCTCTGCAGAACGTAACTCTTAAAATCTTGAAGCTCAGAAGAAAGAGCGTTGTTGCTTTGATTGGTGGTGATGGTGATTCTTCATTAGTATTCTCTGTACTTCCTGAGTGTGTGCTAGGGTTGTGGTATTGGAGATTCTATCTGTTTGCTTATGTCTGCTTTTTCTTCATAGTGTATAATTGAAATCCTCATGGGAGATTTTGTGCTGGTACCTCAGAATGTGGTTTTGAAGTCTGTTGGCATAGCTAATGGGCGTTAGACTGTGTTTTCAGATGCTGCATTTTCTAACTTTTTTCCAAGTAATAACTCAAGCCTTCTACCACCTCTACACTAGCAGAATTATTAAAAACAGATGTTGCAGATTTCCATTTGTATTAATCTGTTCCTATAATTGCAAGAAGCTAAGCACAAGGAATAATAGTGTTAACCTGGAGCTAAATTTCTTTTTTTAACATAAGCCTACGTTTTTTGCCATAAACGTAGGTTTTTAGTTACAAAATGGATGTGGTATAACTTAAAAAATGCTCTTAAATAGCAGAATATTGTTTTTGTCTAGAGCTGGTCATAGTAGTTGAATACAAATGACCGTGTTGTTGGATTAAATCTCGTAACTTTTTTTGTTTTGAGTCTCAGCTTCCAGCAACTAAAACCAGAAGTTACTCCCTTCTCCACCACTCCCACTTTGCCAGTCCATTGTTCTCTTCCTTAATCCCTATAAAGAACAACAAAAACTGTAACTCCTTATCCTGGTGTTTTTCTCCCGAGTCCATCCCCAACAAAAAATTAAACATGATATGCCTGGAGATACAAAAGTGCAAATATAAATACTGCAGTGGCTCACATCATATATTACAGGGAAATAAGGCTTGCTTTATTTGCTTGCTGAAGAACAGCAATAGTTTAGGCTTGACAAAGCCTCTGTTTGTCCCTACTGGGGTTCTGTTTCTAAACCTGCATTAAATATTGGCTCATTACAAGTTGTTTTGTATAAATAATCCTGGGGGAAGGGGAATGACTGTGCATGAAGATTTCTGTGCTCATTCCTCCTCTCTCTCTTTTTCAGGTTCATTTCTTTAACAGCTTTTTTCATAGACAGCTCGTAACCAAAGGATATAATGGGGTAAAACGATGGACTAAAAAGGTATCCTTTAACTCCATGACGTCAGTGCTCTGATTCTTTTGGGCTGGGTTGAATCACTAACTTGAAACTGGGTTACAGTGTGTTACCTGCAAAGGATGGTTTGCAAAGAAGCTAAACAAAGTGAGGAGAGGTTAATAAAAATAGTAGTGTGGCACTATTCAAGTTAGTATGGTTATGGTGTGAAAATGTACTTTGAATGGCTTCATCGCTGGTGGTAGGTTATCTCTTTGTGTATATTCATGCAAGCTGTTAATTTAGCTGCAAGAAATGTCTCTTACTGCTCCTGACAGTGCCAGGTACACTAATCTACAGGAGACCAGACTTAATTCTGCTTCTTCCTTTTATCTCAGACTGGGATTGTTTGATAAAATCAAATTGTTACTCCTGAGTAACACGTACAGGTACTAGAAAGCAGAAATCAGAGACCCATAGTTAATAAGCCAACCTGTTGTTCGCATGACAAGAACAGAATTCACCTTGCTTTCCAGAACCCATACCAGATCGTGGCTGGGATCTTTTCTGAGATAGCTAATACAAAGAGCAGTGCTCTCTTTTTTTTCTGTAAACATTTGTCCTTTCTAATATGGGAGATGAGGCAAGACTAATCAAGGACCATGTCTGAATGCGTGATCTTTCTGCAGAAGCACTTAAATAGCACACATCTGTGAAATGCTAGAGATGAACTCATTATCCAAATATAAAATCTAGTCATATAATTTATTAAAATCTCTTTAAAAAGAGACTGAATATTGGTGCTTAATATTCCCAGATTTTTTTTTTAATGTTCTTTTTCTCCAGCAACCCAAGTTTTGCAAAAACCCCAAAAGTGACGGTAGATTCTGAAAGCAGAACCTGTATTCATGTTGCTGCTGAGGAGGGACTAGATGAGAGCAGGACAGTTGTTTAGACATTTACACCTGAATTCCTGAAGAATCTCTAAAGCAAGGATGAGAACTAAGCAGTATCTGTTGGAAGGATTCAGCAGACTGCTTCGTCCTGCAATATGCAATTAAGGGGAACTTGTTTCTGCTTTTTGAACACACCAGAGTATTGTACCAGGTTTTATAAATGTGCTCTCCTGGGATACAGGAGGCCAGAACCTAGAAGGACATGCTCTTCTGCATCTAGCTGCAGTGGTTTCAAAGCTCCTGTTTGTGTCTGTCCCTTCTGGCCACTGATCAGATTGGCATGCCTGCTTTGATCTGCTGTCATGTCAGCTAGCTGACTCTGCATTGTCTCAGTGAAGCAAATCTAGGTTGCCACCGTTCTTTCTGTACATCAGGTCTTAACTAAAGACCCTTCCAGCTTTCGGCTGCCATTCTTCCTCTTTGGCTGCCTCTTCTGCTACAGGTTTGCGTGCCTGCAGCAATCCCACAACTAGGGTCACATGAGGACCCTTGAGTTTAGCATGGCTCTGCAGTTGCTGGACATGGCAGAAGGTGTAGTTCATTTATCTTACTCCAGTTTTCCTTTGTGGGCTCAGCTTGCTGCTGGCTGACATCTCTCTGCTTCTCTCCAAGAATGATGGATTGTTGTGTAGCGAGTGTGCTGTAATCTGGTCAGGAAGCAGTTTCTGCAGGTGAGAGCTGGGTTCGTCGATGCTTGTGACAATCAAAGCACTGTTGTGAGCAAGGCTCGGCTGACAACTGCTGTGAATGCTCAGACTTTTTTGTGCCTTCAGCTTCCCACTGTTACTCAAAAAATACACTTTTCTTTCCTACAAACGACCTGCCTTTTCCAGTAGTGCAGCAATTATGTACTGTTCAAATTGCACAGTGCTTAAAAAAAAAAAAAGCAGCATAGAAATCTTCCCACAGGATGAGTTCATTTAGTTCAGTATTCTATTTTTGCTTATTTACTGGACTGTACCACCAAAAACCCAGCAATTAGACAACCATTTCAAGAGGAGCTGGGAGAAGGAAGATCATGAAAGGCCCTTCCAAAAGCATAAGGGCTCATCTGCCACACAGGCACTGGGGGTGTTGTATCTGATCTACTTGTTCTGTACTTTAAGACCTTCTCCCTTGTTTGCTTGCCTGTGACCACAGTACATCTGTTACAAAGTTAAGTTCAAGAAAGGATGAATCTGCTCTGTCTTCACCCCCTCCTTTCCTCTGCTCACCAAAGCATCGTGCACTCCTCCTCTGCCTTCCTCTGACAAGGCACAGATACTGTGTTACGGCAGAGGGAGTCAAACTGCACCAGCTCACTGGTTTTGTGGGGTGTTTGTAATCACAACTGCTTCATCTGTCACCTATCCATGATGCAGCTCTGATAGAAATCAGTGGTGTTCATAGTGCAGCAGAGTCATTACTGAAGATACGTAGCTAACCCAAATTGAGGCTCGACTCTATTACCATCATTACTTAAGAAATTCCACTTTGATGCAGATGTTGACGCAGAGCAGGCTTTTGCCACAAATACAGTGGTGACTAACTCTGATACTGTACAATGGTCCTTAGCCACTTTCTGGGCTGTAACTGTATTTTTGTGCCTGCTAATAAGTTGCGTGTGAGATAAATATGAGGAATGTGCTGAAAGAGTGGAAGGGGCAAAAGAAGACTTCAGTTATGGGATGGCAGAGAGGAGACTTAGATACAATTAGTATCTTGCTTTGGTGTGTTGTGCCTGTGGAATTGTCTCTAATGTGTATTGTTCTTCTTGCCAGGTGGACTTATTCAAAAAGACTCTGTTGTTAATTCCTATTCACCTGGAAGTCCACTGGTCCCTCATTACTGTGAACATCCCCAATCGAATTATTTCATTTTATGATTCCCAAGGCATTCATTTTAAGTTTTGTGTAGAGGTAAGAGTGACAGCTGTGTCTGCAAAGTTTGAACTGTTTTCTTAAACAAACCACTCCCCCTTTTTCTGTTCAGCCTTAAACTTTAAATGCAGTGTGTCTGTTGTTGTCCTGCCATGTATGAAATGAGAATCAGCTTATCCTGCTGGGGAGTCTGAAGCACAGACCTTGAGGGTCACACCAGAGCTGGGAGTTGAGGTCAGATTGCCTGTTGCCTAATTAGCCTGACCATGTAATCGGCACACCTTTTGTGGCTCTGTCTTGTCACTCCCACAAAAAGCAGATGCTCAAAGCCAAGTGCCATAGGGAAGCAGACTAGCCAGAATGAGAGTAAAGGCAGTTCTTTCAACTGCTAACGGACTTGTGTTTAGGAAATGATAAATTGTGGTCCTTTTTGGGGGAGGTTGCCTGGGTGAGAGAACAGAACTGAAGATGCTGTAGTGCTGCCCAGTGGGGTTTATGTGTTACTGTGCTATTAACAGCGTGTTGCCTTTTTCCTCTGTCTGCATTGGTACGGGGTGTGTACCTCTGATTATAACCCAGCAACCTTTCGAAGCTGCAACCTGAACACTGGAGTTAAATTATCAGTCTTCCTGGTAAAGAGCAGACAGAAAATTTTTGCTGGGACTGGCAAATTGTAATGACCCTCTTACAAAAGCTAATTTTGTCAACTTAATTGCTTGCTTGATGGAGCAGCCCTCTACTTCTAACTGTGTGTAGTTGTTGGCTTACAGAAGAGTAGTAATTATTGTACCCAGGAGAGTTCCCAGCTAGGACTTCTGAATGAAGATACTAGTTTCCTGCTAGCATTTGCTGAGGATGAAGCTAATGTTTGTTCTGGGAGCAAAAGACCTCATGCTCTCCAGCTTCTGAACTTGCCATGTAAACCAGGGGTCCCTCGCAGCCCTATAGTCTCTCCTGCAGTCTTGCAATGTGGCCTCTCCCATCCTGCTCCAGGCAAGGCATTTGCACTTAAATGTCTCACAAACATGAGAGGCTTTTATTCCTGCCCTTTCTAGGGGAAGGGGGGCCAATACTGAAAACTCCACTGTGATCCACCCCCTAAGGTGAATGTTAGCATGCTGGACTGTGTTTAAATTGTGCTATAAACCACCAGCCTGTTTACAGAGAAGTAGAAGGATTTGCTTAACCCAAGACCATAGGCTCATTTATCTTGCTTCCTTCTCTTTACTTGTGTCAGACTATTTTTTCCTGAATGTCACTAAAACTCTCCCTGGAGCTTTGTTGATTAGCTGCAGAACTCAGTGTTTTGTATTGAGATTCGGGCAGGAAAATGCTATCATATTGAATATAAGGGCCTTGGTGTCAGCCAAGTAAGCCAGGAGAGAGCACATGCCAGACTGCACTGTGTGTCTCTGCATGTCTGAGAGCACTCTGACTCTGTGCCTGAGTGCCACAGCTAGTCTAGTATTAAGTATACCAGCCTACAGTGGGGCTGAGGGCGTTAGCAGCTCCCCTTGATAGACCAAGATGAGCCTTGATGGTGGCAGGCACAGTACCCACCACAGTTCATCTCTTTACCTGTAGATCTGAGCTCAGCTCCTAATGCTTAACGCTTACCTGAAATTTGTCCTCATTGTCAAAAGGATACCGGCAAAGATGTCAACGTCTCTCTCCTGTTCTTTATCCGGTGAATAATATTGTTGCTTTTTTTTCCTTTCCTTTTTAAAGAACATTCGAAAGTATTTGCTGACTGAAGCAAAAGAGAAGAATCGCCCCGAGTTTCTTCAGGGTTGGCAGACTGCTGTGACAAAGGTAAATGGCAGCATTTCAAGCTCTGGAGTCTGACCTTCTGGGAGATTTTAGGAGGCTGCTTCTAAACCTATATATTTTTACAAGTAGTAAATTGTTTTATGCTGACCAGGTGGAGGGTGGTAGGAGTGACAGAGGTGGTTACACATGGGAATTAGAGCTCTGTTGCTCATTCAGCTCCCACCAGGTCTTTAATACTTTCTGCAAGTGACTTGATGATCTGAGCCTAATCTCTGGACAACTAAATATCCGTGCAGCAAAACCTGTTGCTGGTGCTCATGTTGGTACAAGGTCAAGGACTGAATGAGCTGGAGACTCAGCTTCCTGACTTCTCCTGAAAGGACTGTTCTGAACTGTGCCAAATGGCTGGGGTTTGATGAGGGAGGGAATAGGCTAATGCTGACACTGCCTATATTTTATATTTGGTATGGATAGTGGGCTTTGGTCTCCAGGGCTGTTTGTGGGGCATTGCATTTGATCACAAGTAAACAAAGTCTGGCAACAATAAAAGGGAATAACTTGCGTGTAGTGTAAATGAGGGAATATGTGATTTGCGTAGCCATCCCATAATGGCTCCAAAGATATAAAACAGGTCATTGCACACTAGAAATACTCCCAACAGCTCCCTCCTCGCACAGGTTTATTTTTAGATGCTGGCACAAAGATGAAATGATTCCTCTCTGCACTTATGCACACCCTGTGCAGTCAGAGTTTGTCCTCCTGCATTCTGTGAGGTAGAAGATCTGGGAGTTGAGGAGAATAATTACTTTTCCTCTTCAAGTGCCAGACACATAGCAGCACTAGTGAGTGGGACTTTTTAGCTCCGCATATCAAAATGGAGCATGTTTGAAGAAATAATGAAGGTTGAAAGTTATCATTTGAGACTGCCTTGCTCAGTCCTGTCGCCTGACGATGTACCACTCTTCGTGTTCTTTGAGACCCTTTGGTGTGGCTGGGGCAGGAAAGCTACTGCTGGTAGCATGGATGCTGAGAGTAATCTTCCTCTAGGCCTGTGTGACTTTGCTGGTACCGTTTGGTCCTGTGTAAAGCAGATAATGCTGTACAAACATTTATTTAAAGTAATTGAGAAGCTGTTCTGTGTAGGTCACTAAAAGAAAATAAACTTGAAAGAAAGGTTTGTAGTTTGTTTTCTGTCCTACACTCTATTTTTTTCTAAATGTTAGGTGTTACTCTAACAAGGTGCCAAGTGTCACCTTGCAAAAGTTGGGATCAGAATAAGTTATTACAACTCCAGTTTGTAGTGCTGCAGAACAGCTAGCTCTGAGAATGAGATACCTGATCATTTTGCTGAATCTCCTTTTGGACTTTAAGCAGGACTTGGAGAATAAAAGGATAAATAAAGATCTAACATGTCTCTTGTTTCTTTTCCTTGTAGTGCATTCCACAACAGAAAAATGACAGTGACTGTGGGGTTTTTGTGCTCCAGGTAAGAGTACTGCTTTTTAAAAATCAGTGGCCTGTATTGTTCATATAGTAAATGTCCCTTTTTTCAATCAAGCCTTTTCCTTTTCCTCAGTACTGCAAGTGCCTCGCCTTAGACCAGCCTTTTCAGTTCTCCCAGGAAGATATGCCCCGAGTGAGAAAAAGGATATACAAGGAGCTGTGTGAACGCCAGCTAATAGACTAATAAAATGCAGCCAACCTAATTTCTCTGGCATTTCTGACAAGTTGCAGCTGGTGTTTGTGTACTTGAATTTCTGAAAACTTCCGTGAATTTTGAGCGATTCTCAGCTGAGTGGTGTGGCCACTGTTGTTACCTCAATTTTTTGACAAGCTCTTTAACTGGCAGAACATAACAGAGCTGCCGTAAAATATTCCTTGTGTCAGTTTGGTTCTTTTATGTTCTTTCCTGTATTTAATATTTATTATCTCAGCATGCATATAGGCAAAGCATGCAACTAAAACCATAAAACTGTAGATTTGGTGCACCTTTGAGATGTAGCTAGAAACGACAAATACAGGTGATTTTGTCTGGAAACATAAAGATGCATGATATGTTTTCTGATGCAATAATGCTTTGAATGTATCAAAAAAAAAAAAGTCAATGCCATAAAAAGAACAGCTAGAACCTATTTGATAGTTCCATTGTCTCTGTTGTGGCTGTATAATACTGAATTACCACTTTTTAGGGTGGCTAAACTCATCTACAGATTTAATTTGTGGAGACCTCTTTTTTAAATAGTTCAAGTTGCTAATAAAGTTTGTTCTGTTAACATTTATCCTGCTGTCATTATCAGCCTGTCCCTGTAGATAAAAAGCAGCCTTTGCACAAATAAAGCTTCAGCACTTGTCTGTATAATAAAAAGTACAAAGGTGTTCAGTCAGTCAGATTGATAGCGTGTTCCTATATGCTGCAGAAGTCTCCGTGATGTGTGTATTAAGGAGAATTATAAAGCTGGCCCTGAAGAGTCACAGCTTAGATACTAAGATAAACTCCTTGGCTGTAACTGTTTAAATCTCAGATGGCTTTGACTCATTTTTCGGTTCCACAATATGCAGTGAAATGTACCATTTCAGCATCTCTCCCTTCAGCTCTGTCTTCAGATGAACTCCCTTCAAGCTTGTCGTGTTTAACCTCCCATTGGCTTTTGCCTTTGTTCAAATATAAATTAATTCATTTCTGCTGCATCTGCTGTTTGATTGTCTCAAACATCTCTAGATTTGTTTGTGTTCAGTAGCACTAATGGGTCTGGTTGGGAATAACAGCACTCGTGGTGGGTGCTGTACAAACACATTCTGCTCCGGAAGGGCAGGAGGCTGTGAGTCCAGCACTAAACTTTGCCATGTTGTTGCACTGGACCGGGATAAGTGAGAGCAGTGGGTCTTGAGATTTCTGGGTTTTTGCCTTGATCTGTAAACTATGTGCCTCTTGCTGAAGAGAGCTAGTTTTGTTTGAAGAGACTGCTGCGTGGGACTGCTACACCAGCAAAGGTCTTCGCTGTGTTTTTCTGCCAGATAAAGGAGTGAACCCAGAGGAAAACTATTTTTAATGCTAAACATCATCTGTTGCACAGCTTCACTTTGTGTCTGTCCATAGCCCTGACTTCTGATGGAGAAAAACCACTTTGAGTTCCCTGTCTTGCAAATTAATTCAGGCTTGAGCTAAGCCAGTGCAAATCCCTCCTAGATTACGGGAGGGAGCAGGGAGAAGTGAGGGAGTGCCAAGCTCAGTGCAGTCAGGCTGCGAGATGGAAGCATGTGCATGCTGTGTTGTGCTAGAGGAGGAGGTCCTGCAGTATCCTTGTGTGTCCCACTTCCCCTTGTTGGCAGCTGGCAAGGACTGGCTTAATTTAGCAAGATAAGGAAGGCCTTAAGCACTTGGTTAGATAATTTGAACGAGGAACTTGTTGAATCAGAAAGAACCTTAAGACCCAGACTGGCTAAACATACATTTGCCCATCATATGGTGCAGAGCACCCCACAGCTTGTGGTTTCTTGGTGTTTCCCTGAAGTGTCACTGATACAAACAGCAGCACCTTCTTGGGGCAAGTGACTGTGAGCAGTGGAGGATGACTTCCGTGAAAACTTATGCTTGGGGAACATGTAAGCCAGTGCTGCCATTCTCGTCTTCTCTCTCCACTGCTATCACACGAATGGTACAAATACTTAATGCTGCCATGTGGTGGGACTAGCTGAGCTGATCCAGCTTAAAACTAACCCAGCCAAAAGGCTGCTCTTAACCCAGAGGACAGAGGAGTTCTCACCTCAATGTAACTTGTCCCTGAATGTGTATACCAGCATGAACGAAGAGGGAGAATTGGGTGGCCAGCAGGAGACATGAAAGCAGTGCCAGCTTTGGATGCATGCAAGTGAAGCTATATCCTCAAGCAAGACTCCCTGCAGAAAGAGAGTGAAAGACAGAAAGGGAACTGCATAAGGAAGCTGCCTTTATTTTCAGAACTTAAGCTATTTGGTAAGGAAGCTTGAAAGGTGTGCTGTGACAGTGTACCAGCCTGGGAGACTCAGTGCCTCCAAGGAAGACCCTTATTTTTTGTGGAAGTTGCCTCATTGATGGATGTTTTTCATTGCATGGGAATGTGTTGGAGCACTGGACCACAGGGAGTCCTTTCCTGAAACTTGGTGACTGCTACTGGTTGGTAGGAATCCATTTTCCTCTATAGGAGAGGTTGGGAGGAGTCTTTAATCATGATCCCTTTATCAGTGGCATCAGTAAAAGGCCAGTATTTCTGTGAACTTTGTGTTTAACGGGAAAATGGATGCTTTGAAGCAAGTGCATATGTGTACCAGATCATTTGAGGGGAGGGGGGGGGTTGCATTTGAATCTGCTGCCTTGTGAACTGGGGAACAGGGTGGGGAAAGATGCATGTTGGAAAGTACTTCTTATGTGCTTTCTTGTCATCTAGAGGTTTGCTGACAAGTGTTCCAGTTGGTTATGGGGCAGTACAGAGGAGTTGCACTTGAGTCTCCAGCTGTGAACACACCAGTGAGAGGCATCTGAAAAAAAAGGAGGGGAAATTGAAAACAGAGCTAATGTAAGCAAAGTATGTTGGTGCAGGGTTGAAATTAATCACAGGCAGTCAGAATCTCAGGCTCTGTAATGGTGTATCCTGTGAAACTGGACTAATTAACTCCTCCTTGAGAATGTCTTTGATGCCTTAAAGGAGATAGACTCCATAATCTGTAGTCATTTTACCAGTTCTTAAAACATTCAGAACTATGTAGACTGTTTTTATTATGAGAGGCACATTTATGTGGATGTAGTTATGGCTGTTAGCAATTCCATTAATGTGATCTTCAGAATTTCATAAATCACTCTGAACTGGTTTGGCTGATGCTTGAATTTCATGACTTGTTCTGAAGAGATTGTCTCACTGTGCTGATTTATACAAATAGTCCCAGAGCTGGTGAAGCCTCCATCTTGTGCATGACAAATTTAAGCTACCTGAGTTGTAATAAACCTTAAACACAATTGGAAGTAAATTATTAGTTTCCATTTTGTTTGCTTTAATCTATAGTTTAAAATGACTGTGCAGCTGATATAAATAAAAAAATGCAAAATGTGGCCTTGATTCTGCAAGGTAAGTAGAGAAATGCTTATTGCTGAGCTGGTAGATACTTGCAGGATGGAGGCTGGACCTTTGTGCTATCTAATTTTCTGTTGCTCCGTTCTTACCTGGCCCTTTGGAGTGTGAAGGTGATATTTTGAATGTTTCACTTGCACTGATTACCGAGCCAGACAAGCTTGCAAAGAGTTGCTGGCTTGTGTTGAATCTCTAGCATAATGCTTAACCTATCTTTACTTTCTCAGAGTTTTGATTGGCATTATCTACTGTAGCATTTATTAAAGTCAATGTGAAAATTTAAACCTTGGGGAGTGGCGTAGACTTACCTTCACCAAGCAACAACTGTGTTTTGTGAGTGTGTTCTTGCATCGAATGAAGCCCACGTTCCTGTGAAGTAATAAAATTGAGTTTTACCATAAACCCTATTTTCTTTCAGCGGTTTGGTTTCATTTTAATTTTAAAAGCAACTGATGTGATGGTTGAGGGAATGTTCGTAGCAGCTTGTTTTGAGATCTATGTTATTAGGAGAGGCCTCTCCAGTTGATTAGTTCAATAACTCTGAACTGTACGCTAATGATGCTCTCTGTTCCGTAGCACCGCAGTGATATAACTTACTGTGGTTTGAGCTCTGACAACACACAAGATTGGAGATGTCACGTATTGCATAAATAAGGGTGGAAATCTTGTGTTAGACACTTTCTACTAAGGTGGCATTTAAAAAACACAGATCTGTCAACAGAACAGGTAGGACGTAAATTGCTTTTCTAGCTCAAACTAAATTAATGCCCTTCTTGTATTGCTTGTTGATTTAGCTATGTAACTATAGAGTTAAATCTTGTCTTTGAGTTTTACAAAGCCATACAGCTTGTGAATTTGTGATAATGGGGGGAATGAAGGCTTAGCAAATGTCTCTTTAAGCTATTAATCATGAGACTGGCAACATCATTGTCTTTATTACATTCATAATTTAAAAATCCTATCATGGAGGAGGAAACATGGATGCTTGTTAAATATATTCTTTCAGTGCAAAGTGCTAAGAAATCAGATCGTTAAAGTACAGAATCATAAGAGACACTAGAGCCTTGCCAGGAACAATAATTACTATTTATATGTATAAGAGATGAGTCTCGTTTGCTTGTGCCTCAGCTTAATGGATTTTATGAGTAACCAACTAGAAGGATTTGAGGATTGAATTTCGTTTTCAGAGCATGTAATATTACAAACTATAGAGCTAAAAACTGTTGCAAACTGAGCGAAATATCTTGAGAAATCAACTGGTTTGTCGTCTCTCAACACAAGTAAGCAGAACATGTGCAAAGCAGCTCCTGCTCCTGCCTGAAATTCTGATGAATTCTTATTCTTAATTTTTGTGTTTGATTTCAGCTTTTCTGGTAACTCCTCTCCCCTAACGCAGCACTTTCTTGAGGTTGCAGACCTTACCTAATGCTTAGGTTACCTGGGGCTCTTTATGGGCAACTTTGGGAAGTGGCCGAGAGGAGAAGGGATCAAAAATCTGTTTGACTGCCTTGTGATAAATGTGTCGTGGGAGGAAGGGCAGGAGAGAAACTGAGCTTTAAATAAGATGTATTTAACTGGATAATGTGGGTCAGGTCATGTTTATGGTACGTGAGCTTGATACAGACAAGGAGCCATCTTGTTTATGAAAACCTTTGGGATGAGTGGGAGAGAAATGTGGGGAAGAGATGCCTTCTGCAGGGACGATTGCTTTGCTGTGCACATAGGGATGCTATGTCTCGCTTCAAGCCCATGCATTTTAGATCAACTTAATGCAGGCAGCAACTGCAGCAAAGGATGAAACTCCCTCCGCAGCATTCAGCTGAACATCACGTTTGTTTAGGACAGTTGTGGCTTGACAGTTTATCCTCAGCATCTCTGACAGCTCCAGCCTATTGAAAAGCAGACAAGCGTGCTTCTGCTCCACTGCAAACACCAGGGCTGCCCGAAGGCTCTTACAGATTAAGTCGATTCCAGCTCACCTTTCAGTTCCTGGCTGCTTTGGGGTTTCAGGGTTGAGGTTTTTTGTTTTTAAGGAAGTCTGAGGTACAGAGAAGTTCTAAGGTGTATCTTCAATACGTATGTTCCCTTCTCATTCAGGAAACTTGTCTTTGGAGATCTGCTTTCAGCTTTGCATACTGAAATCCTTCTGTTTCTTACGTACAAGGCGGCAGTCTTTAAATGCTGCTGTTAATGGGCAGAAAGAGACTTCAGGGCTTAATTTTTGGCAGAGTTTTGTTTTGTCCTCTGGTGGATCACACTTCATATGAATGGTTTTTTCCTTTAGAACATAAATATAGCTAAAAGATGCTGAAAAACTTTAGGCTAGTGAAATGCAATGCCTTAAATTTATGTCTACTTAGGATTCTTGTAGACACTTGATTGTCCCCAGATAGGATGCCTAGTCTTTAGAAGGAACTGGGATGTGCGTTGAGAGGATCAGTGCTGTTTAGAAAACAGGGAGTGTACAGGTTCAGTTCCCAAAATCACTATTTGATCATTTTACCACAACATACATTAGAAACTGAACAGTTAGGTCCTGGTGAAGTTCTTGGCAGGGCTGTAGCTCGTGGCCTTTTGTGTGGCTGT